GATTTTAGTCTACTAATCTCTACCTTCCCCCTACTATGTGGTTGATACCTTCTCCAAGTTAGCACAAGCCCCCAAGGACCTACCCACAGGTAGTTCTCAGGGGCTTTGATCTCCCCCAGAGCTTCCCCCTCCCTTGCTTCTTCCATTTCCATGGACCTGCGCTTCCTCTTGTCCTTCCAGCTTTGCTGAGTCTGTTACTGTCTGCTCAATGTGCATGGAATTCCTCCCTTTAAGACAGGCTTAACCGGGGCGGGGTGGGGGGGAGATTGTGCCCCCAAGAGGACCTTTGCCATGTCTAGACCTGGTTCTGCTTGCCCTATCGCAGTACCTAGTAGTGGAGGCTAGGGATGCAGCTGAACACCTTGCGCACTCTGCAGTGGAGGGACAGCCTGGGCTGTGAGGAATTATCCAGCCCAGGCCCAGCAGGGTGGCACTGAACAGTGGCTTCTAATTGTTTCACTGTTTTGGGACATTTGTGGCTCTTCTTGGCACCTGAGGTTGTCTTGTGCACTGTGACCTCTTTATGGCTTGGTGCCCCTGCAGCACCCCTGGCCAGGTGGAGTAAAAGCCAGCTCAAGTGGAGAGAGACCTCTGTCGTGGTCCCTTCTGCACCTTGTCCATCCAGGGAATGGCTAGTCCAGAGGCAATGAAGTCCACGCCCTGCACTTCGGGCACCAGTGATCTCATGACCTGGTCATAGGATGGGTCTCAATCAACTTTTTCAAGATGTAGTTCACATATGATAGAGTGTCTGTGTGGTTTTGGTAAAACAATGAAACCAACAACAACAAAAATGTGAAAAAAATCCTTGTGAAAATAAGACCGTTTCATATCTTTTTCTTGAAGAAGACTCTCACTGCCCCCTTCCTCCAGAAGTGTTACCAATACCAACCACTTCTTCAGTCTTGTGACACCATCCCGGAGTCTTGCCATTCAAGGTCCACACCAAACGCCTGGAGGCCGAGGGCTCATTCCCAAGAGACTGCTCACTTTACATCCCAGTCATCAGTGTGGGGTTTCTGACACTCACACTTGCATCTGAATTAACCACAGAGGCGAAGGTTCCCAGGTTTCCTGAGTGGTTTCAGTAAGTCCCCGGAGGAACGCATCCCTCTCCAGAAAGGGCCCCAAGCAGGAGTTGGTCAGGAGAATGTGGTTCGGCACTGCCCAGCAGGAGCAGAGCCAGTCAGGCACAGAGAAGAATACCCAGGATTCTCCTGTCTTCCTCTACCTCTATGTGCTCATCAATCCTGAAGCACTCAGATCCCCGTGGTTTTGAGTTTGGGCAGAGGTCTCAGGACATTAGGGAGATTTAATCACATCATTATCACCAACAATTTGGTCTCCAGCTCTTTTTCCATCCTACCTGAGAGTTTAAGCTTCTAACCAAAGCTTGGGCCTTTTGAAGACCAGTCCCTATCTGAAGCTCCTAGTGGCTCTTAGTGCCACTAAGGGTCACTTCATTAAGGTGTGATTGAAAGGGGCTGTCCTAGCATTCCAGAAAGATTCCAAGCTGTGTGCTGGGGGGCTGAAGCTGAATACCAACTATACATGTCTGTGCACGTGTACCTACTGCTACATCTTATATTGACTTCTGTTCTCCACCCTAGGATGTGCCTAGCACACAGTTAGCCTTTAGAAAGTATGTACTGAACTAGTGAATGAATGAATGAATGAAAGAATGAAATGAGAACACACTGTATTTGGAATGTTTTGGGAGTAGTCTCCTTTTTTTTTTTTTAATGGTTTTCCGAGATAAGGTTTCTCTGTGTAGCTTTGGAGCCTATCCTGAAACTCACTCTGTAGAACAGGCTGGCCTGGTACTCACAGAGATCCGCCTGCCTCTGCCTCCCAAGTGCTGGGATTAAAGGCGAGCACCACCATGCCTGGCCCAGTCTCCTTGATTCTTTAATGAGTTAAAAAACCAGTCTTGGAGTGCTTTGCCTGGCTAGAGGTACAGCTGCTAGCTAGAGGAACACTGGGCGTGTTGGAGCCTGTCCTCTGTCCCATCAACCCCCATTAAGATTATCCACTTCCCCCATTCCCAAGGTTTATTTACTTTGAAACAAGATAGCTTAGCTCTTCGTTAGAATGTTCTGCCCATTCTGTTGGATTTTGATGATGTCTGTTCTTGTTCTGTGGCTTCAAAGTCCATGTTCGGTTTTTTTCTTTCTTTAAAAAAAAATGAACAGTAAGACAGAAGGGTGTGAACACCCTCCCACTGAGTCGCCTGTTTGGAGCCTAATTTTTAACCCTGCCTTGGCCTTGTCTTTGACAAGTGAAAAAAATGCTTTCTTGGCTTCAGGGCTGGAGTTTCTAAGGAGGGATCTTGCCCTTTTGTTTCTTTATTTAGAAGAGTTGTTTGTACCCAGCAATGGGTCAGGGGTGACAGAGCATGCTGGAAGAACAGGCTCCTGCCCTGCTTTTCCAGCTGCCCCAAGGGAGGAGAGGGACCCAGCTCAGGCCCAGGGCATCCCCTCCCACGCCTCTCAAGTTTGTCCCTCCAGTTGTCCCACGCCCCGGAGACCAGAGCTCCTCAATGCGGCCTCCTGGATAGAGTGATCATTCTTTGGCATATCTCTCTCTCTCTATATATATATATATAGATATATATATCTATATATATATCTATATATATAGATATATATATAGAGAGAGAGGACGTGTGTGGTTTGTGTGTGTGTGGAGTGTGCTCATGCATTCGTGTGTGCATGTGTGTGTGTGTGTGTGTGTGTGTGTGTGTGTGTGTGTGTGTGTGTGTACAGTGTGTGTGTGTCTGTGTGTGAGTGAATTTGGGGCACATGCCATGGCACGTATGTGGTCAGATGACCTCACACGTCAGTCCTTGTTTTCCACCAGCCTTGAGGCAGACTTTCTCTGTTCACTGCTGCATACACCAGGCTAACTGGCCTCCTAACTTGGCATTTCTCTTGCCTCTGCCTCCCCTCTCCCACAAAACAAAGTGCAGGATGAGATGTCTGGCTTTTATGTGGGTTCTGGGGAACTGAACTCAGGTTGTCATGCTTGCATAGCAAGTGACTTATCCATTTAGCCATCCCCCCAGTCCTGTACAATGCAACTTTTGTCTGTTATATTCCTGGCTGTGGATTCACAAAGGCCTGTTTTAATATGAAAGATCCACAAAGTGCTGCTGTGGTGAACTGTATAGAATTTGTCCAGCTCTCCTCTCCTCTAAATATTTAAGCATAAATGTTGGCAGCATGCAGGACACTCTGTGGGTGGAAGAAACACCACTTTGTGCCAACATATTTCAAGAAAACACGGGCTTTGGATCCAAGTGACATGAAGGTTTCTACTGGAGGGTTGTGACTGTTCAGATCTCTAGCCAACGTGCAGAGTCTATAATGAAGGCTTGGTTAATGCCACTTCTCTGGGGACTGAGGATTGTTTGAGGTGTATGCAAGTACGATGGGACGTGAGTTCACCACCCTTGGGTAATTAAGGAAAAAGAATGTGGCTTAGGTCTCCCATCTGGGAGTGCATAGCACATGCTTTTAGAACTCACTGGCAATTAAAGATGGTACTGTGGCCAATGATGCTGCTGTTATCCATGTTGTGTACATTTCCTGGGTCACTAAACACATGCCAGGCCTATACAAACTCTTTACACACATTAATTAATTTTGCGTCTTAAAATAAGTTACAAGGAAATACTGTTGTTCTAATTTTACTGGCAAGGAAGTGAGAACCCAGAGAGGTTAAACAGCTTAAGGTCACACAGCTAGTGTGCGGGAGCGTTTATGGCAGCTAGAAATCCAGTCAGCTTGCTTTCGTTAGTTCATCTGTTGCTCTTTTAATGACATCTCCAAAGAAGTGTCATTTGGGAAAGAAATACACTTCAGAACCACGGCGTTATGTTAATGGATTTTTAAGAATCGCGTCTTCCCAGGAGATGAAAGTGAAAAATGACTCCAGGGTCTAAAGTGTTACGTGGCTCAGGGGAATTCTGTACGTTGGATTTAATTGCTTAATAACTTAAAGTCAGATGGGTTTTTTTTTTTTAATATGATACACATGACTGAAGAAGAGGATCATTTCATTGTTGCTAAATTTTCATTAACTTTTGCTTCCTAAGCTGTAGTGGAGAGGCTGGAGAAGCTGTGAGAAGCTTCTCTCTGTTTCCCCTTACCATTCCCACTCCCCTCCTTACTGTGCCCCATGTTTATCACTGAGGTAAAAATGGTATTTTGATGATTCATACCTCAAATTGGAAATCACTGATGGTCTTGGCTCTCTCTCTTTCTCTTTCTCTTTCAAAAGCTACCCGTATGTGGCAAGAGAAACCTCAGTTGAGAAAACTCCTCCATCAGATTGGCCTGTAGGCACGTCCTTACAACGTTTCTTGCTTAATGAAGGACCTCCATGGCTCAGCTCACTGTGGTGAGAAGAGCACTGTGGCACAGCTGTTGGTCCTGGGTGGTGTAAGAAAGCAGGCTGAGTAAGCCATGGGGAGCAAGCCAGTAAGCAGCACCCTCCATGGCCTCTGCTTCAGTTCTTGCCTCAAGATTGGTGCCTTGAGTTCCTGCCCTGCCTTCTTTCAATGATGGATGGTGATGTGGAAGAATAGGATGAAATAATCCTCTCTACCCCAAGTTGCTTTTGGTCATGGTGTTTCATCATAGCAGCAGAAACCTAACTAAGAAACTAACTGTGCATAATTAGTGGTTACACAATCTTGAGATACTGGAATGTCATCGCTCAGATATGTGAAGGCAGAGGTCCTGGAGGGTACATCAGTCATGTAAAGTGTAGTGTTTTGGGTCACATTTGGTGACAAAATGAACCCCAAATCTAAGCACAAAGACCCCAAACATCTCCATTGGTCTTGTTTGATCTGTGACTTGCTTATGAACAAGTAAGTGTGGCTGAAATGGAGAGGTGGACGAGGGCGCTACACATCTGCTCTTCTCTGGGAAGCAACTCCTGCATTATCATAGTTACAACATAATGCCACAAAACTTACCTGTCTTTATGTTTAGGTCACCTGCCATTCATGAGAATCTGCTCCCCATGAAGAGAAAACATTCTGCAGGAATGCCAGTCTCCCCATCAGTGAGGATCCCATGATGTCTTCTAATCTCCAGTGTGACTCCATGCTCTCCGCTGACGCCACCCCGACTTTCTTTGGTGCCATGGGAAAAACCTGAAGCAGGAGCAGACTTGCTTCCAAACCTGCGGCTCCTTCAGTGTTGCATGGCTGGTGCAGAACAGACTATTGGAATTGGCTTTGTGTGTGTTATCCTTCGTATTTGAACCAAAGAACGTGCCTCACTCTCTAGCGCGTCGGTGTCTGCTCTCCTTTGCATTTGTTTCTGTTGCTCGTGCCTTCTCACCATCTTCTGTCATCACAGGATACCCTTAACGTTTCCCAGCAGACTCCCTGAGGGCTGGTCCATGGCTCCCTAAGCCGGCTGTCCAAGGGCTCTACCATGAGGCACTGCATTAATTGCTGCATACAGTTGTTTCCTGAGGATACACACAAACAGCAGACTGCCTGCCGGGGAGGCCCCCATCCTAGTCACCAGGTGTGCCCCACTTGCAAAGGAGAGAACAAAATTCTGTTCCGTGTGGACAGTAGGCAGATGAACTTGCTCGCTGTTCTCGAAGTGAGGGCTGAAGGCAATGAGAACTGGGGCGGTTTTTTGCGCTTCAAGAAGGGGAAGCGATGCAGCCTGGTCTTTGGACTGATAATCATGACCTTGGTGATGGCTTCTTATCTTCTTTCTGGGGCTCACCAGGAGCCTCTGATTCCATCTCCTTTTCATTACGGGGGTTTCCCCAGCAACCCCAGCTTGGTGGACAGTGATAACCCAGGTGACATGAAAGAGCATCACTACCAACCTTCTATAAATAACATCTCCTACGTGAAGGACTATCCAAGCATTAAACTAATTATCGACAACATCGCTGCCAGGATCGAGTTTACGACCAGGCAGCTCCCGGACTTACAAGAGCTCAAGAGGCAAGAGCTGCACGTGAGTAGCCGTGTGTCATTCTTGATGACTGGCTTTTAAAGAATGGATGCTTCCTTCCCTACTGTCATCTTTGGGGGTGCAGGTGGAATGTGACAGACATTTCCGAGATGTCTTACAGCAAGGATAATTCGATGATCTGACAGCCTCTGGGATTAGATGGCACTGTGTGACTATCCTATGGAATGCCAAGGAGGGAACTGGCAGTCCTGAGTGGCCCTACTAGAGATATTTAAGGACCGTCTCTTGTCATCCTTGCCTTTGGGGACTTCTTGCCTAGAATGGGGTCATGGTGGCTAAAGTTGCTTTTGTAGCTCATCATCATTTAGTATTTAAAAAAAAAAGGATTAATTTTTTTTTTTGGTCATGTGCTTGTGTGTATGCCTGTGTAGTTATATGTGCATGTGGGGGCAGGTGCCCTTGGGAGCCAGAGTGGGAGCTGAACACCCCGGAGCTGGAGTTAAGGTGCCTGTGAGCTGCCTGATGTGGGGGCTGGGAGCTGAGCTCTGATCGTCTGGCAGAGCCGTCTACACCAACCATTGAGCCACTTCTCCAGCTCCATCATTTAGATTTGTTTCCTTTTGCTTTCGAGGCAGGGTCTCTCTATGTAGCCCCGGCTGTCTAGGAACTTGCTCTGTAGATCAGGCTGGCCTTGAACTCAACAGAGATCCCCCTGCCTCTGCCTCCTGAATGCTGGGGTTACAGGTGTGGGTCACCACTGCCGCTAGGTTAGAATATGTTTTTGCTAATTGTTTTCCTTCATTGTGTCTGTCTCCTTCTTTCTTTGATTGCAGATGTTTTCTGTAATCCCCAATAAGTTCCTTCCGAACAGCAAGAGTCCCTGTTGGTATGAGGAATTCTCTGGGAGGAACACCACTGACCCCTACCTGACCAACTCCTACGTGCTCTATTCCAAGCGGTTCCGCTCCACCTTTGACGCCCTACGAAAAGTCTTCTGGGGCCACCTGTCACACGTGCAAGGCAAGCACTTCCGCTTGCGTTGCCTGCCACACTTCTATATCATTGGGCAACCCAAGTGTGGAACTACTGACCTTTATGACCGCCTTCGGCTGCATCCAGAAGTGAAATTCTCGGCCATCAAGGAGCCCCACTGGTGGACCCGGAAGCGCTTTGGTAAGTGTTGAGTCTCATTTTCTTTTAGTCATTCCATGGATGGATGTTATGGCTGGTGAGGGGTGAGTGTAAGAATCTGTGAGGGAAGGCAGGGTGAGGTTGGAGAGAAGATGTATTGAGATTCAGAGGCACAGTCCTTGTCATTAGACAGTTTCATTAATCTGTTTTGTGGTGTAACAACAAAACACCAGTGTTTGGGTAACTTAAGGGAGAGGAATTTATTTGGTTTGTGGTTCTAGGGGCTAAAGGTTCCAAAAAGCATGTTGTCAATATCCTGTTGAGAGGCCATTGGCTACATTACAAGATGGTAGAGAAAGAAAAAGGTGGCTGGCCATATGCAGCAGAGGCCAAGTTCATGGTGAGGCCTGGCTTTATAATAAACCACTTTGTCGGGAACAAAGTCACTCCAAGAGAACAGCATTAAACTTTCCAGGCAGAGCTCCCATGAGCTAGTCACCTTCCGCCATGCTCTACTTTCTAAGGAGTTCCATGACCCTCAGCATCCCACTCTGGGTACCAGCCTTACCAAGTTTCCAGCACACGAGCCTCTGGGGGACACACTCAAACCATAGCATCGTTTCACAGGCAAACCCCCCGCTAGTGAGCACTGGTTGAGTGCTAGGTGTGTGCAGGGCAAGGGGCAGGTGCAGAATGGGAACTTGTTGCTGTTGGTGGTGGTGGTGTGAGTGTGTGTGTGTGTGTGTGTGTGTGTGTGTGTGTGTGTGTGTGTGTGTGTTACTGAGGGTTACATCCCTAGCTCTTTTAGTTGTCCTGAAGAACTTGAACATGCAGACGTAGCAGGGATCAATTCATGTCAGGAACTAGGGTGTCTGGCACCCAGCTCTGGGCTGCTTTACTGAGGCCACCACACCTGGAGGAGACACAGCTTCTGGCCTCAGCTGTGTGACCTACCCTGTCTACCTCATGTGTTTGAAATGCACTGGGGTTACATCTCACCCCTGGTCAACAAGGTTGACTGTGGACCCCGCCTGCTCTGCCCCGCCTTGTAGGCTGGTTCTGCTCCACCCAGCCCCAGGCACCCTGTGGCCCTTGGTCACTGTTTCCTGTCCATAACCTTTTCCTTCTGCCAGGAGACATTTGGTCACTGAAGCTAATGGGTGATACATGGCCTGTTGTCTGCCAAAGCCTGGGCGGGCCTTGAGGGTAGTTTCCATCTAAAGGACCCAGGTCACTAGGAGAAAATCTTAGATGTTTTCCTTAGACTAACTTTTCCTGACAAATGTTTGATTTCCTCCTTTTGTTGTTCGTTCGGGAGTGGTTTAGCAGTAGCTGCTGAGGAGCCAAAGTCTCTTTTCCTCATGCATTTGATGTGCATGTATGAATGCATACTCTCCTCTCCCACCACAGCCCGTGTTCCCCCGAAGAGAACCAGCTTCCCCCTGGCAGGAAGGAGGAAAGGACAGGGCACGCATCAGCTGCTGGTGTTCAATATCACCTTGAATCTCTTGTTATTTGGGCCAGAACTGTTTTCTTCCTACTTTGCAGTTAACTTTGGTAGCTGTGGTGGTGCTGGGGGTGTATGTTTTTAAATGTTTGCAAGCTATTTGAAGGCAGGGAACAAATTTAAGATGTGTGTGGCAGATGTCAGCATCTGTGTCCATCCAGGGAACAATCAGTTCACCCTGCTGTTTGGACAAGTAGGATCTTGACGGACTGCATCCGTATTAGAACAGCTGTTGGGTTCCATAGAGCCCTGGAGAAAGAGGCACTGTGAAGGTGACAGGATGCTGCTTCCTTGCTGCCCACCCTGTGTCCTTCTGCGTGTTTGGCACACCACACGAGTCCTAGGTGCCGGGGCTGCGTGTCTGCTTTAATCTCTCTTGGTGAAGCTGGTAATCAGTTCTCAGCTCTAGCCCTCCACGTAGCCCTTTTCTACCTCTTGGGTAGGCATGGCCTCTCTTAAGCGGCCACTGCTCAGCAGTGGTGGTGTCTCTCACCTTGTGAGGCATGTGTGTACCGAAGCAGGCAGGCAGTTGACAGAGCTCTCCATCCCACACCCATGTGCCTCCTCCAGAAGCTTACCTGTATCAGGTCTTTAGCTGCTAAAGTTAGGTCCTCTTGGTCTTTTCCTCCCTCTCTGGTCATGCTTCAGGAGGCCACCACCCTATCAGTGGCAATGTTTGTCTTCAGTAACTCAACTCTTTTTTTTTTTTTTTTTAATTTTTTGTTTTGTTTTGAGACAGGGTTTCTCTGTGTAGCCCTAGCTATCCTGGAACTCTCTTTGTAGACCAGGCTGGCCTCAGACTCATAGAGATCTGCTTTTGCCTTCCAAGTCCTGGGATTTAAGGAGTTTGCCACCACCACCCGGCCAGTAACTCTCTTCTTGGCTCCTGTAGGAATTGTCCGCCTGAGGGACGGACTACGAGACCGCTACCCTGTGGAAGATTACCTGGACCTCTTTGACTTGGCTGCACACCAGATCCATCAAGGACTGCAGGCTGCCTCTGCGGAGCAGCAGAGCAAAATGAACAGAATCATTATTGGTAGGTATAGCTTCTGGGGAGCTTCAGGGGAGCTGGCAGAAGGAGTCTCTTTGGGGCCCTGGTCCATGCTCTGGGCCCAGCTCTGCCTCACCTGAAGAGCATTTGCAAGCTGAGTCCCTTCCCCACATGGCTGTCACTCTTACCCTAGGTAAAACATTCACACCATTTGTACCATTACTATACAGCAGGAACAGTTAGTCAGCTGGCTTGTTCTGCGCAGACTCAAGGAGATCTGAAATGGCTTTTAAGAAAGTCGCCGTTTCTCTGTTTTTCCTTAAGTTGATCAGGAGTGCTTTACTTCTTTCCACAATGATGATCGGGGTTAGCCTTCCAATGAGTCGCTGATTGAACTCTAGGACTGTGGGAGGGAGGCGGCATCTCCTCTCGGTCTCGGCAGCACTTTGCACACCCTCTGGGATGAGTTGCTGTGTGACCCAGGAGCCCTTGAGCATTCAAAATGAAGCTGTTTGTGTGGCGTGTGCTCAGGATGTGGAGGCAGGAGACTCTTGAGTGTGAGGCTTGCTTGGGCTCTTTAGTTAGACAAAGCAAAACCAAAGCAACGCCAAACAAATAAAGCAGTGGAAGGTGAAACAAACCAAGATAGCTTGATTAAAAAATTTCGTAAGAATTTTATTGAAAATCAAAAAATTTTGTTTGTATTTAAATGTACACATTTGATACATATGCATAACGAAAAGATGATCTCAGCTAATCAAGTTAGTGTATTGGTCTCCTCACGGCTCCCTCCCTTTATCCCTTGCACTCTTTCACATGGTGAGAGTACCTGAAGCCCCGCCCCCCCCTTGGCAAATGATGGCACACAGTGGAGTGTTGCCATCTCCAGCCCAGACTCGGTGCCTTGGATGCTAGACTCATGTCGTTCGACAGAACTCTTTTCATCAGATTTAGCTTGAGATGGGGCGTTTATCTCCGACGCCTTCTGAAAAGGAGAAATTGAATCATACATTTCACTTAAATTGGTTCCCTGAGGCAATGATCTATTTTGTGCTCCTGGATCCATTACATTTTGATTCTCTAAATCACATGAATTTCTGGGTGAGCAGGATGGATAGTGACTAGCCACTTGCACGAGGACCGTGTCCCTGACTCTGTGAGGAGATTCTGACATCTGCCAAAGCCTGGACTGATGGATGGGTTGATTTTTTTTTTTTCTAAGTCATAAGTAAAATCTGTGTATCCACTGGGAATGAACTCTACCCACCCTTGTGCCTACAGTGTGAATTGGCTGTTAGATTTTTTTTTAAATTTTAAACTCAAGGGTGCAAACACTCCATTTAATAAATCTAATTAATATTTTGCTGAGACTCCCATACCATATGCCTCTGGGGAAATCTCAAGTTCTATGAAAGAGCTAAAAATATTCCTCCCAAAGCCAAGAAACAGACTTAGAAAATGAATGAGAAAGGAAAGCCTTCGTTTGGGTTCCTAATTATAGTTACTGCTATATTTCAAAAAGAACAAGAAATAAAAATACTATACTGATATTTACTCCAAGCCAGGTTTGCTGCTGTGTCTTATGATAGCCTCTTGGTGTGATAGGCAGTGTGGAGAAGCAGATGAGAAGCTGGCATCTGGCTCTGCCTATGGCACCAGGCAGCTCTATGCCAAGTCAGGTCTTTGTTTCCATCCCAGTCTATGGGTCTATCAGATGGGATTGTGGGACTAGATCAGAACCCTGCTTCTCCCAGCCCTGGAAAGTGGCTCATCCCCTTTTCAACTCTTCCTCCCAATGAAGTCCTTGGCAGAGGTCAAAGGGTCACCTCAGCTTGGGTGAGGGGCCATGGGTCAGAGGAGGAGGCCCTTCCTCTCAGCAGCCTCTGGCAGGAGAGACACTCAGGGACTCAGGACTGAGGCAGTCAGGTTCTGTGAGGCTGGGGATGCTGAAAGCCCCGCTCTGCCTGCAGGGTGCCTTGCCCCTGCCCACTCACTTAGTACCTGATGGCTTCTTGAACTTTCAGTCTCCTTTTAGAGGAGACAGTCTATGCCTGTCTTGTTTCCCTCATTGGTCCCCAGTGCCAAGACAATGTGGGGCATGAATTAGATGTCAAATGAATGTGTTCCGGGTGGATGAAGGCTGAGTGGACAGACAGATGGGAAGATGAACCAATGGCTGCATGGGTCTAGAACCAGGTCCCTTTGAGATCTGGCAGAATTTGTGCCAGTGTCAGGTTAGACACTCCATTCTCATTTCATATTCCCTCCTTTGTGGTGAGTAGATTTGCCAAAGATTTGACTTGTCTTTTCTCTCTGTTATGTTTTTAAAATAAACTAAGAAAGGAAAGATGGCTGGGATACCGGTGTTCATACAACACGGTCACAGACCGAGCAGAAGAACAGGGCCTATTGTCTTCACACATGACCATAACGTGCTCATAGGACCTACTGTCTTCACACATGACCATAATGTGCCCACAGGGCCCACTATCTTCACACATGACCATAACGTGCTCACAGGACCTACTGTCTTCACACATGACCATAACGTGCTCACAGGACCCACTGTCTTCACACATGACCATAACGTGCTCACAGGACCTACTGTCTTCACACATGACCATAATGTGCCCACAGGGCCCACTATCTTCACACATGACCATAATGTATTTATGGGGCCTACTGTCTTCACACATGACCATAATGTATTTATGGGGCCTACTGTCTTCACACATGACCATAATGTATTTATGGGGCCTACTGTCTTCACACATGACCATAATGTGTTTATGGGGCCTACTATCTGATTATCATGTGCTTATCACTAACCAGGTTGACCCCTTAACTCAGACTATCCCTGAATGAATGACACTGAGATGTGGCGCATGGTCCATGTCCAGAAATTAAGTGTAGAATTGACTGGCTTGTTTATCTTGAAGACACAGGTGAGGGGTAGTGGTGGCTATGGAAGGGTGGGTACCAGTTGTCCTCACACTAGATCCCTGGAATCCCTTTCCTTCCACATTTCAGTAGACAGTCACAAAATGGAACAAGGCAAATGCAGCTGGGAAGATGGCTTATTTGCAAAGCCCTTGCTGCACAGGCATGAGGATCTGAATTTGGATTTCCAGCATCCCTGGAGAAAGCTGGTCATGGCTGTAGGCTCCTGTAATCCCAGTGCTGGGGAGGTAGAGGCAGAAACATCCCTAGGGCTTGCTGACCAGCCTGTCTAGGCAATTGGCAAGCTCCAGGTTCAGGGAGAAACCCAAATTCAAAAAGATAGAGCAATAGAGGGAGACTTTCCTTGTTGAATTCTGATCTTCATAAGCAGGTACATGCTGGGGATGTCTTTGTGTATGCTGTGAATGTGTTGCTCTGATTGATTGATAAATAAAATGCTGATTGGCCAGTAGCTAGGCAGGAAGTATAGTATAGGCGGGACAAGCAGAGAAGAGAATTCTGGGAACAGGAAGGCTGAGTGAGGAGACACTGCCAGGTGCTGCCACCATGAGAAGCAAAACGTAAAGTACCAGTAAGCCACAAGCCACGTGGCAACTTACAGATTAATAGAAATGGGTTAATTTAAGATATAAGAACTAGATAACAAGAAGCCTACCACGGCCATACAGTTTATAAATAATATAAGTCTCTGTGTGTTTTCACTTGTGTCTGAGAGGCTGCAGGAGCCAGGTGGACTGGAGAAAACTCCAGCTACAGGTACCCATACATGTGTACATACAAGTACAGATGTCAGCCGGGCAGTGGTGGTGCACACCTTTAATCCCAGCACTTGGGAAGCAGAGGCAGGTAGATTTCTATGAGTTTGAGGCTAGCCTGGTCTACAAAGCAAGTTCCAGGATGGCCAGAGCTGATACACAGAGAAACCCTGTCTCAAAAAACCAAAACCAACAACAACAACAACAACAACAAAACCAAGCAAATGTCATACCACACACACACACACACACACACACACACACACACACACACACACACTCATGCACAATAACACAACAATAATTAGTTCAGTTATCCAAGAGTCTCTGTTGTTTAAGTGCCCGTGTCTTGACCTCACCTCTCTCCTCAGAGCCGTGCTGAACGTTTTCATCTTTCTGTTAGGGACTCTGATTAAATAGTGTTGGGCCCTGTTTATCCAGCCACTACAGACTACTGGCTATGCAAAGAGCAGGGGGTGAGGTGTGGGCAGCAGACAGCTGGCCATGTGGGAAAGCGGGGGCTGAGGCTGAGACCCCCTGGCCTTCTGGCAAAGTCTTCCTCTCGTTTGGTCCTAGATTGTGCCCTGTGACTAACTGTTATGGTTCCAGGGAAAGATAGATGTGAACTGCATCCAACTTTCCAGCGAGGGTCAGCTTCCCCAAATGACTCTTTTCTCTTCCTGACACATTTTGAAGGAAACCGTCCCGTAGATTCTCAGCGGGCCCTTAAAAAATGCCACAGAGCTATGAGCTGCCAGCAAAGCCAAATATTGTGAGATTAAAGTCCTAGGTGTTAGTAAAGGTTATATTTTTGTTCATCCCGAAGGATTCTTCCTGGGGGTGGGGGTGGTAGCAGCAGAGGTGGGTGCCCGATGTCCTCTCCCTGGATCCCCGGATCTGCCAACAATGGCGGATAAGCTTGCCCGGTCATGGCTATTTAAAAGGAAGGCACGAGAGCCAGGCTTGGCCTCTGGCTCACAGTGGGAGCCCAGACTCTATGGCCCAGCATCTGCTCCCTGTCTGTTTGCAGGAGAGGCCAGTGCCTCTACAATGTGGGATAACAATGCCTGGACCTTCTTCTACGACAACAGCACAGACGGAGAGCCACCGTTCCTGACCCAAGACTTCATTCATGCCTTTCAGCCCGAAGCCAAGCTCATCGTCATGCTCAGGGACCCTGTGGAGAGGTGAGTGGGGGTGGGGGAGTGCCATGCTTTGCATTTTTGGTGAAAAGAAAGGGTTTTTTTTTTTTTTTTTTGGGAGCACAGTGTTTCCATCTCATCATAGAGAAGATTTGCCTGTTTAAGAAAAATAATAAACAAGCTTAACTTGCGACATTACTGTTGTTTCTTACATAAATGTTATTCTTAGGGCAAGCCTCCCTGCATTTAAACAAATCGTGGTCTATTTTCTCGGCAGTTTTGACTGTGGTCTGTGGGTGCTAGCCTCTGGTGGGTCTGACCGAGAGACAGAGGATACAAGTGCTGATAGGGCTGGGGATGCCCTTGGTGTCAGGTGTGTTGGGGTTCTCTGTGTGCTCTGACTCCCAGAATTCCTTATGGCTTTGGTTGGTGAGTCCTTTCTCCCATGCAGGTCTGAACATGTATCGCTCCCCTTCCCCCCTCAGCATCCCTGGAAACAGAAGAAGGGGGAAATGACTGACAGATTGCTTTGCCTCTGATGAGGTCAGGGCTTGCCCAGGTCTGGACGGAGCAGAGCTGGTGCAGTTGATCAGATAGTACCTGGATGGCGATATTGTGTATGCTGTAGACTGTCAGGACCTTTACATCACTTAGTCTGCTGTGCCCTCCAAACACCATCTTATCCGGAACGAGGGGTTGCCACTCAAAATGGCCAGGCTATGTCAGAACAGCTCAGCTTCCTGTCTGGAGATCAACGGTCTTTTGTCCATACCTTGTTCTCGTTTATTCTCCTGTAAGCCATACAGTCCAATCTAATCATTTCAAACTATGATAGCTCCCTGGTATTTAAAGACAGGGTCTGCAGCCCTTTGTTTCTTATTTCTTGTGTTTTCCTGTGGGCTAAATTATGACCCCCTGCCCCAAATAACATATTCTGAAATCCTAAGTCCTGTAGCTTTGTCTGGAAATTGGACCTTTGCAGATGGATTAGGGAATTTACCATGTGAAGAGATTGAAGGATGTGGCCACAAGCCAAGGGATGTACTCCCTAAAAGCTGTGAGAGAGGAACCTCAGAAGAAGCTAGCCTTGTTAACACCTACATTTGACAAATCTAACTTCCTGAATGACAGATGTCGTGTGTGGCACTTTGTTACCGCAGCCCTAGGAAATGCCTATCTGATTTCTTCCTTGGATGGCATGGCTTCCAGGCCCCGACCATAACAATAGCAGTGTTTATTGTAGAGGTGTTAAGGGAATGCATCAGAAACTATAAAGGAAATGGACCATGCACGATCTCCCATGTAGGTAACTGTTAGTTAGGTTTTTCTGTGTATTCTTCTACACTTCATTCCTGTCAGATGCATACATGTGCCATGTGCATATATCTGTGAGTACAGTTTGGTGAATATGCAATCTAGCCCCTCGCATGGCTGCCTGAGAGCACATGCTTGCCCCTCCCACTTGCTGAGCTGGGTTTCCAAATTCTCATGAGGCTCCAGAAGTCCCCAGCTCTTCTTTAGATTACTGGACAGAGGACCATCTATCTGTCTGGGGCACAGCAGTCTCTTGGGTCCACACCACAGGGCAGCCACTTCATGTGGTCCCCAAGGCAGACGTGTCTACCTTCTCTTCTAGGCAGGAAGTGGACCCTTTGCGTGCCGCCACCCCCCCCCCCGCCCCCTCCCTGTGGAGTGGGCTGGGTTTTCCTGGCACAGAACAGCAGGATTACACACCCGCAAAAGAGAGGCTTAAGGAAACAGCCTCACCACCGCTGAGGTATTTTGACAGCTGCTTCTCTTCTGTCCCCCACGCCACCTCAGCCCAAGTTCCCTGGTAGAACGTTCTTTCCGATCACCACACACAGAACACATATCTACTGTCCTTCCTACAGCTTAATTCTGAGGAAGGTCATCAGATAGTGCCCAGTTTCAGGGCCCAAGAACTGAGGCTTTGGCAAGCATTCTGGGCAGATGAGGACCGAGCCGTCTGAGTTGCTTCTGTGTGTACCAGCCCCAGGGAGACTCAAACTACCAGGCTAGCTGGAGAGACAGGCACGTTGCCAATGTTTGTCTTGGTCCTACCGATGACAGCCGGAAGGGAAAGGAGCAAGCTTCCCAGTGCAGAGGAATCCCCTCCATTGGAGGAGCTGCTCCTGGGCCGGGTTTCAAACGATGAGTAGGAGTCTGCCACACAGACAAGGTAATCCAAGGAGAAAACCACCCTGAGTAGAGATGTCTTAGTCAAGGTTCTATTGCTGGGAAGACACCATGACCACAGCAACTCTTATAAAGGAAAACATTTAGTTGGGGTGGCTCGCTTACAGTTTCAGAGGTTCAGTCCATTAACATCATGACTGGGAGCATGGGAGCGTGTAGGCAGACATAAGTGCTGGAGTAGTAGCTGAGAGTCCTACATCTTGCAGGCAAACAGGAAGTTGACTGAGACACTGGGCGGTATCCCGAGCATAGGAAACCTCAAAGCCTGCCCCCACAGTGACACACTTCCTCTAACCAGGCCACACCCACTCCAACAAGGCCGCACCTCCTAATAGTGTCACTCCCTATGAGATTATGGGGGCTAATTATATTCAAACTACCGCAAGAGAGGACATAGCATATAGAGACCTCATGTCTTCTTGATGGAGGGTGGAGGCATCTTCCCCCAGAGGGTCCTTTCCTAGAATTGTGCATCCACTTCTGAGGACAGGAGCGCCAGGAAACTGAGCCCTGGAGTAACAGGACAGCCATGTTGGCCAGGCTCAGACTCATGGCCAGAAGTAGGACTTGCTCTACCTGCCTTCCTGGCCCAGCTGTGGGCCACCACCTTGCAGGAGATTGAAGTGGCCCACTCTGTTTCCTTCTTGCTTGTTTTTAAGGGACAAATAATCGCAGCCAGAAACCAAAGGTGAGAATTTTCAGCCTCTCTTGCCCTCAGCTTAACACAAACATTTCATCCATAGAAGCACTTATGGAGCCTTTATTGCATGCTAGGTGCTATGCTGAGTGCCTAGCTGTTGAATGGCAAGCCATGATAGTGGTCCAGGGCTGCAGATACGACTGTGTCATGACCAGTGTGTTAGTACTATGGGGGCTGCCTAGCAGTAGCATGTGTTAGGCAGGTGGCCTGCTGCAGCATTAGGTACTAGCAGTGTGACAAATTGCTCCAAGATGTCATAGCTTCTATTGCCCACTCACTGTTTCAGAGTTTCTGGGGATCAGGGGCCCTCAATGCCTTGTCACTGGGCTTTCTGCTTCGGGGTTAAGGTATCTGTTAGTGTTGGGGTCTCACCTGATGGCTTGGGAGGGAGTCTGGGCAACTCCCACACTCGCATGGTTGTGGCAGAACTGGGTTTCTGCAGGGCTGTTGGAGCACAGGCCTCTGTTCTTTTCTGACTTGGCTGGAGATGGCTCTCAATCCCTGGCCACTAGGCTTTTCCTACAAGGCCGATGGCGTCATCAAAGGAGCAAGGGAGAGGTTGGCTAGCAGGTCTGTGATCCGGCTGCTGGTGTGCCGTGCCAACACTGTTGCCACATCTTGTGGGTCACAGACAGATCCCCTGGTCCAGCCACTCTTCTAGGTATTTGTTTCCCACCCAGTGCTTGGGAACCTGGTGCCTGCCCTGTAGCCCAGAGAAGAATACCCTCAACTTGATGCTAGCTCCAGGGCATGCAGGAGGGCTGTCACGTGCTGTGAGTTAGGGAGAGCAGCAGCGGTTTGCTGCTTCTGAAACATCACCAAAAATATGCAACAGGGGGAATTTCGCCTTTTTGGAACCCGTAGCTCCTGGCCTATCTGGAGTGGCCAGCTCAGCTCCTTCCCTGACTCAAGCAGAAAGAATGATAAATATTGTGTGTTTAGGTTACTCTTGAAGAAACAAACACTAGAGTGCAAGTCCTCATTAGTCGAACTGGCTCCTGGGCCTTTGGCCCCCTTTAGCTATTCCCTGGCCTTGACTTCTGCACATGGGAGATGCTCCAGGCTGCTCCGAGCCAGTTGGATTGGTCCAAATTGTTTGTTGAATTCTACAAATCAGCTGGGGTGGAGGAGGGTCGTTTGTAGTTTCTGATTCACGGTTAGCCTTTATTTCTGTTAATAGGTTAAAGGCAGAGGGGTTGACCACGCTGAGATTGGAGGAGACTCACCCTAATGACTTTTAAGTTCCCAGGGAAAGACAGAAGCAATAAGTTCAGCCCCCACCCTGGGGGAAGCCAGAGGAATAGTGAGGAGACGTCTGTGGAGTGGTTTGAATGGTGAAGAGGCCAGCCACGAATCCATGTTCTAAATCTCTCTCTGTAAGAAACGACAACAATTTTTACAACTAATGGATTCTTGGGCTAAACTGTCCACTTAATTAAAAAGAAGTCACCAACAGACAAGCAGAATTTTTCTTCATTTAGTCCCTCTCTGAATGGCCCAGTCTCTTTTTATTCCCTGCATCTTTTGTTTGTGAGATGACCAATAGAGCTGTTTCCTAACTCAGGGCCACTCGAGCTTCCCATTCTACATGAGGAATGGCTCACGAGGAAGCCACTGGCTCCCTTGGCCCTGTCACATTCCTCTTCTGTTCATGGGACATTAGGAGAGGGACCCTGCACTGTTTGTTAAGGTTTTTCTAGTGTCTCCAGTGTTACTTTTAATTCCGTCTAGTCAAAACACGATGCCCAGAAATGACCATCCAGGAACAGTTGCTTCCACATGTCATGGTGGTGGGTCTAAAGGAAAGAAGAGCTCCACTCAGTTAAGTAGACTTCCATCTTGACTCTAATCCCTCGGGCCTTGAAGCCTGGGGAGCTGTGTTCTTCATCTGCTTATATAAACTGACTTTTTAGAACCATCTGGACTGGTTCAGTGATTAATCTACAGATAAACTAGGAAGGAAGGAGGTGTTACATGAAGTGTGCCCATTCGGATGTAGTTGCCCGCAGCACAATAAGAGTGAGGCTAAGCATTTGGATGGAGATGTAGGCTTGATTGAGTCCCCATAGTCTGCAGAATGTGTGGAGGTGTGGAGATGGGGAGCAGCTTCTACCACCGAGTGTGTGTG